GCCCTGCTACAATTGAGGGAGATCTAACTTGTCATCACAACTGATCGTGGCTTGCAGCTTTTGAGATGATTTAATAAAAATGAGGATGGCTTGAATGGGTCTTCAAAGCCATGGGAATGATTATAAATACTACCTGGCTGTATTGAATCAGCAATAGCAACAAAAGAACTGCACTTCATGCCAGACACACACTTAACAGCAATTTCAATGTTTAAATCTAAAACCAAATACCTTGGCTATGATCTTGGCAGTGCTGCAGGTACTAAACAGGTAAGCACTGCCTCGTGGTATTTAAACAGGGGCCTCTTAAAGCACTGCTGGGTTTAATATTACTTTAGGACTCCTGTGCCTTAGTCTCTCAAGATGCAGTTCCCTGATTGTGCAGGAGAAGGAGAGGATCATGGCATGCTCAACTGTTCTTGAGGGTCAGGAATGCCTGTCCAGGCTCTGAAAGTGCATCTCTTCTGCCTGAGGTGAAGTCAGTGGGTATTGCCCAAGCCTTCAAGAGCAGCAGGTAGTGTCGTGAGGAAGATGTTAACTTTCATACATAATGCTTTCTAAAAACAGCTACACAAGGAAGACTATAAAAAGACTGCTCCCCCAACAAATCAATCATCCACATCAGCTATGAATTCAAACAACTTACTTAGGAGTTCCTATGGGCAGGATATTTAACTGGAAGCTTAAGCAAAACTTCAACATTTCGTGTTCTTCTGTGCCTTTTTGCGGTGTGGGCTAATGTTCACAAGCAAATTTAGCTGATGGTGCTGTACACAATGGGCAAACAGCAGAGTGAAATGTATACCTGACCAACTGCCTGTATGGATTGCAGCTCCACATAACATCACAAATCTCTGGAGGGTTTTTAAATACTGTAGGTTATGACCTCCAGCAGCTCAAGAACTGAGACCTGGTGGGATTGATCTCTAAGAGTCCATGCGGGCGTGCTGCCTGCTCCTGGTGCAGCAGTATCTCTCTTACAGAAACAGCAGGTGGCACTTGGTTTCCTCACTGCATCCTTTGGCTTCTCGTCTCTTCCCATGGACTGAAGAAATGTTGAAATGTGGTTCAGGATTGCATTGAGGGAGAAGGGAGCTGTTTTAGGTGTTTACCCTACTTTGGCTTTTGAAACCCATTTTAGCTAAGGTGTAGTTCCTGGGTTTGCAATCAAAAGTCTGTGCTTTAGGGTTGCAGGGGGCTTCAGTGGGATTTATTTCCAACTGTGCTCACCAAGGAATTCTGAGGAAGATCAGGAGACTTGAACTGTGTTCCTTTCATTTGCATGAGATCTTAAGAGCCATAAACTCTTAAAGGTCGCAATCAATTCTCACTACACTTACATTAAGAGGGCATTTTGTGGCTGGTGTGATGGGATTCCCTTCTAACAATCTGTGCCCTTCAGCTGGCCAGGACAGTGCAAAACCATCCCCTAGAACAAAAGTCGCTTCTTTGCTCCATATATACAGCACCACAAACAGTATTCTTACTGCCTGTAGGTAGATGGAAGGCTGAATTTATATTCCTGACCCTGAACACCACCCGTCTTTCTCAGGAAACTCTACTGCCGCCTTCTGTCTGACGTGCTACCCTCCCCTTGTTTTTCCTAGCTGCACTATTCAATACCAGAGAATTGATTAACTTTCCTAAGTGTTACATACAGCCCTGTGGGCATAAACAGCAGCTGGGAAATTCAAGCTGTGCTAATTCATACACATGGCAGCAAACCACCAAACCCCTCCCATGGGTTCTGCCCCTGCCCGCTGGTGTCACAGAGGCTCTCTGTGAGGTGACACGGGGCATGCTATGGCTGAGTGCCATGCGCAGAATGGAGGGGATGTGTCAGGTACGTATTTTCAATTGGAGGGGCAGGCAGGCTTTCTCCCCTTCCCCTTGGGGTGGTTTTTGCTTGTCTTAGTAGCTGCTGCAGCCTCCTGGTACATGTGGCAGGATGAGCTTCCTGCGTTTTGGTGGCATAGAGTCACAGAAGGGCTGGAGTTGGAAAGGACCTCAAAGACATCCAGTACCAACTCCCTGCCATAGGGATGCCACCCACTAGATCAGGTTGCTCAAGGCCTCTCCAACCTGGTCTCAAACACCTCCAGGGATGGGGCACCCACAACCTCTCTTGGGCAACCTGTGCCAGTGCCTCGCCACCCTCTGAGTGAAGAACTTCTTCCTAACATCCAATCTAAATCTCCCCTCCTTCAGATTAAAACGGTTCCCCCTTGGACTCTGCTTGTGTAGATAATGATAGGACTTCTCTGTCCTTTTTATAAGAGCCCTTTAAGTGCTGAAAGGTCACGAGCAGGTCTCCCTGGAGCCTTCTCTTCTCCAGGCTGACTAGCCCCAGCTCTCTCAGCCTTTTTCCATAGGAGAGGTGCTCCAGCCCCCTGACCATCTTAATGGCCCTCCTTTGGACCCACTCTAATAGCCCCACATCCTTCTTGTGCTGGGGGCCCCAAAAGTGGACACAGTGCTCCAGCTGGGGCCTCACCAGGGCAGAGCAGAGGGGCACGCTCCCCTCCCTCCCCTGCTGTGCTCCAGCAGGCAGCAGTGAGCTCAGCACCTGAGCAGATGCATGCACAGGCTGCTTTCACTTTTGCAGTCCCTAGCGCATGTCTGGAGCTGAACTTTCTTCCTCCGCTTGCTGGGGCAGTCACCGGAGAGTCATCCTGCGTGAGCAGGTGTATGTGCAGATGAGCTATTTCACCACGCACCCAAGAGGCCGTTCAGGTGTACAACTGGGGGGGAGTGCTCTCCTGGCTGTGCTGGCATGAGCACTGCACCAGTCTGACCTCGTGGCTGTGGCTGTGTAGGTGCAGCCAGGAGTTTGTCCTGAGAGAGCAGAGCAGGCAAACATCTGTAACAGCCGAGTTTTCACTTGCCCAGGTTTACAGCATACCAAAGGAGGTATTGGGATGTCCAGCAGGGATCATGGGGAGAGAGGGTGCAGTCCTGCAGTAGCTGGTGCTCTAGCATCCCCCTGCCTCCTGCTGAGCTGGCAATTCATACATATGACAAACAAGATACAGAAAAGCAGCAATGTGGGCAGAGGTCAGCTCTGTGCTGCTGTTCAGCCTGTACAAGTGGTGCCATCTGATCTAGGATTTCTGCTGAACTGAACATCCCAGGGGTGAGACTGATTGGAGACACTAAACAGTTCTGACCTAGCGTTGCTTGAGCATCTGCAGCAAGTCCTGCTGCTGCCCTGCTGGATGAGCTTGCACCCTGCTGAGGAAGGAGGTGGTGTGGGAAGGGGATGGCGGTACTGCTGCAGTTAGCAGTGACCTTGCAGTGCAGGGGCACGCTGTTACATGACTGACCCATTGGCTAGAAGATGCGTGTAGCTGTGTTTTGGCCCGTAAATTTAACAAGTTGCAATATTTGGGTCTGACCTTCTAGGAAATGACTGTGGGTGGTTCTTAAAGTGCATAATAAGTTCCTGTCCTGGCTGGACACGCAGCAGCTGTGGGCTCAGGCTGCCCTGGGCAGTTTCTGTGGCTTGTGCCAACACAAGGAATAGTACCAGGAACAGGTCAGGGTGAATTGTCCTGGATATATTTCAGCTGCGTGGCTCCCTGTTGCATGGCCCACAAGGCTGCAAGAGGGACTCAAGTCAGAAGGTGGTGTAGGGACTGGGATGAGCAGTTAGGAGAGGTCCTGCTCTTGTGGCCATCAGGGCGCTGCTCAATTTGTTCTGGACTTCTGTGTATTAAGGGCAGGAGGGAGCAGCTATCAGCTCTGTCTTTCTGAGTTCCTGTTTGGATTCACGCTGAAAGGCAGCCTGTTTGGCAGCCTCACAGGCTTCCTAGTTCTCCTGTAACAGCAGGACCATTACAGGGCTTCTCAGCATCTTCAGGCACATAAATACTTCTGGAAACGTAGATCTCCTTCTCTGTAACCCCTTCCTTTTAGCTCCCTTTGGAATGGAGCTTGCAGCTATTAATGTGGTAGATGTGGGGATGTGCAACAAGTCAGCAGTGCACAATGTGTAGCTGTGCAATTTCGCTGCAGAGGATGTGGCTGTGGGAAGCCTTGGGAACAAGGGGATGAGGCTGGCCTGGAGCAAGAGCACATGGTCCTGTGTAGGTGTGATGGCCTGTGCTGCAGCTGGGGTGTTACTTCAGCATCAGGCTCAGATCCAGGGATCCAGAGGCCATCCAGTGGGCAGATAAAGTGAGCCCAGCTGCTGGAGGGTCCACCTTGATAAGGCCACTGCTGCTGTCACCTCTTTGTTTAGTTGCTCCCGTCTGATGTGTGGCCGGCCGTGTACGTGTATGTATACGTATGTAGTCGATGTGTTTTCTGTGCGTGCTCACACTGGGAGCACATCTTCAGCCTCGATACTGGTTGGACCTGGGGATGTGGAGCAGCACTGCCTGGCCTGTCCCAGGCTGTAGGATCCAGCACGATGTATTTTGCTGTAAATGCATAGCAGATAGTTTTGTTTTGTTTTGTTTTTTTAAGGTTCTTCACAAATGTTCATTCCTACTATCAACATCTAATACACTTTATGGCTTCTTTCCATTTTTATAGGAAAAACCACCACCCTGATCCAGACACTGAAATTTGTCAACTGATGGGACAAAGAGCTGAGACACTTGGCTGTACTAGGACACTAAAACATAGTGCTTAGCCAAACAGAATTCCCCCACCGTGGAGGCTTATATTGGCTAAACCTTGTAGCATCCTTGGGAGGCTTCTCTGTACTTCTTCTCTGCTTCTAGCCTTTCACCCATCATGGAATTTCTTTTGACTTCTTTTGCAAGCTAGCTCTGGCTCTGCCTTTTGCTTCCCAGTATGCTTTGGTGTGGGTTACCCAGTGTGAGTTGCTGGCTATAGGCTGTTGCTGCATTTTTGCCTCCAGCTTCTACTTGGAGGCTCTTCTTGGATGTTGTGACTGACCTGCTTTTTCTTTCTCTTTTACTGTGTTTCTCCCTCTCCCTCTCTCTCCAATCTGTCTCTTGCATTCTCCATTCTTCCCACCTCCGTCCCTGCAGGTTCATCATGCCTAGTGGCATATAAAAAGACTCCACCTCCTGTCCCACCTCGGACCACATCAAAGCCGTTCATCTCTGTCACTGTGCAGAGCAGCACTGAATCAGCGCAGGACACCTACCTGGACAGCCAGGACCACAAGAGCGAGGTGACCAGCCAGTCAGGGCTGAGCAATTCTTCAGACAGCTTGGACAGCACCAGGACACCCAGCGTGACACGGGGCAGTGTTGTGACTCCAGCAAGAGACACTCCAGAATTACCACAGAAAAATGCAACCTTGAAAAGTGACAAAGGGACTCTGACTAACGAAGAGCCTAAAGTGGAAAACGTCCCCAAGAGAAAGCTGTCGTCTATAGGAATACAAGTATGGAATAGTTTTGTTTTCCTCTGTGTCCTAAGGAATGTCCTTAGCCCATCCATTTAGCGTGTGCATTTTGTGTGACCAGGTGTGCATCTGAACTCACCTAGAATAGCAAGAGAATAGCTTGTCAGACTAACTTCCCGTGCTCCCAGGGTGAAATACAGCAGAAGCTGTTCATAGCAGACCAGAAAGGAATAAATTATTTTAGTACAAAATTAAAACACTTCATAAAGCAGTGGGACCCTGTGAACCAAGTGTCTCTCTAAAGAGGCCTTGTGCTGCTAGTACACCTGCGGGTGACCCTGTGCTCTGTATTGTATTACATAGTGTCAGTCTGCTCCTTGTCCCTCATGGTTTTTGGGACAACTTTCTGAGTGGTGGGCTGTCCTACTTGCTGTCTGTGTGGTGTGGGCTGCTGCAGTGTGAGTTGGTCCCAGGGCTGTAGGCGTGCCAGGAGCACTCCCTTGGTGGCTGGCTGCGCCAGTGGGTTGCTGCTGCTCCTGCTGGAAGCACTTAACTCTGTGGAAACTGGTGGTAATCAGCTGTAGGTTATACAGTCAAATGAGATCCCACTGAGTAGCATAAACCCATGCTTTTATCCAGCAAGGGTTATCATCTGCAATTGTCAACCTTTTCGTGAGAACAGATTTCCCAGGTACAGGTGGCTGGTCCCTGCAAGCAGTGGTTCTGTCCCAAAGCTCTGGCTCCGTGCTGTGGGTTATAACCTACAGGTGGGACCTTGGGCACTCGGGCAAGTCCGAATGTAGGAGCTGGGCTAAGCTTCTTTGTGTGGCTAGCAGGGCAAAATGTGTTAAAGAGCAGTAAGCAAGAGAAGTTGCATTGGAGATGCTGACTTCTCTCCTCTTTGTTTTCTGAGATGGTTCCTAGCCTACCTGCCCTGCAGCTGGATTTCCTTTTTAAAACCTTCTAAGCCTCTTATCCAGGGCTATGGAAGGTGTCAGTCCCTGGGAGAGAGGAAGTTGGGTTTTGCTGTCAGCCTCAATCAGATCGCTGCCCTCTCAGGAAGCTCCCTGGTCTCGGCCAGTCTCTCACCCACCACATGCAGGTGCTCCCTTGGGCACATGCAGCCCTTCCCCAGCCACTGCTGTGCAAACAGCAGCAAATATTAGAGCCAGGTGCCCTTAGAGCAGACACCTAGCAGCAGTCCTGGTGCTCAAGTGGAGGCAAACACGAGCAGCAGCCTCGCACCTCTCCTAGCACAGCCCTCCAGTTGACGTGTGGTGTCTGCATGCTGTGTGTGTGTGTGCAGCAGCCCTCCCGGTCTACTAATGTGAATTCCAGCAGCAAGTTCTTGTGTCTGTTTTTGTCTGTATTTTTTTGTTCAATAAGGTTGACTGCCTTCAGCCAGTGGCAAAAGAGGAGCCTCCTCCACCAGCCACCAAATTCCAGTCCATCGGGGTACAGGTAGAGGACGAGTGGCGGTAAGTGAAAGACGCAGGCTTTTGCAATTCTTACTCTTTTCTTTTAAATTGCGCTTCCCTCTAGTTTTGCTTAGGCCTTCTCCTTCTCCCGTTCTCTGTTCTAATGCAAGTGGGGTAGAATGGGGGCCCGTGGAGAGCTCTTCCTCTGCAGCACACACCGCTGAAAACAGCACTTGTTCTGTAAACAGCCAAATCAATGGGGGTTCGAAATGAAATAAAAAGTCCAAGATGTAATTATAGATGTGCATCAGTCCTCTCATCTGAATGGCCTATTGCAGTAAGCAGGCAACCTTATAATTCCGTCTGTCTGAATGTGTGGTGTGTGTTTGTGTGTGAGGAGGGGCAGGGGAAAGCTCAGCTGCAGCCTTAATAAACAAATGCATTTCATTGTTGATGTGTGCAGCCAGCCCCGTTGTGTTCTGCTATTTAATACGTTTGCTTCTGATCTCTCTAGAAACAGTCACTCTCGCAGTATGTCCTCCAAACAGGACACAGACTCTGACACGCAGGAACCTAATAACTCTAGCTGTAAATCATCTGAGAGAAGTGTTGCTGAGTGCCCCCAACACAACAACTCCGTTAGTGTTGATACTAGTACCAGGCAACCAGCCAAGCCCTCACAGATGAAGAGAAACCTCTCCTATGGAGATAACAGTGACCCAGCCCTGGAACCTTCCTCTCTCCCTCCTCCTGACCCTTGGCTTGAGACATCCTCCACCTCGCCATCAGAACCCATACAGCCAGGAGCCTGCCGGCGGGATGGGTACTGGTTTCTGAAGCTGCTTCAGGCAGAAACAGAACGTTTAGAAGGCTGGTGCCGCCAGATGGACCAGGAGACCAAAGAGAACAATCTCTCTGAAGAAGGTAGGTGCTGCCAGCCTCTGGATGCTAAACTGGAGCAGCCTAGCAGCTCTTCCTTTGAGAAAGAATTCAAGCCAAGTATTGGTTTAGCTTTCTGTGGTTAGATGGCTGATTTGCCACAGGGTAATGGCGAAACCTGGAGGTGAGGGTGGGACAAGAAGCAGTCTGTCCTTGGAAAGGATAAGGCAACTTTCTCTAGCAGATTGGGTAAGAAATAATACTAAGATGCAGTAGAGAAGACTTCAGAAGCTGCCATCATCCACTGACAAGTCAAAACAGCTGAAAGCTTGACTAAATTGCTTTCAGGGAGGCTGTGAGGTCTTTGTCCCTGCCTAGCCCATTGTAGCTGAGTGGACAGGTGAAAGCTTACTTGGTGGTGGGGCAGAAGGAACTGTGACTGCTGAGCCTGTCTAATCGGGCTTGTCTTAACAGCCAAGAGGAGGTTTCTTCATACAGGAACACTTTAATGAATTCACACTAAATACACCAAAAGTACGCATACAGGAAACATAAGGCCACTTGACTTTATTGGGTTCAGCCCAGTTGGGCTTGTTTCATTATTTTAAAATGAGATGGCAAAAATTGTACTCTTTACAATTAAAATCATGCCTAGATGCGTACAGAGTGACAAAAGTGGCTAACTAGGCTGCAGGGGGCGCGATCTTTGGGGCCTGTAAGTATCTGAGAAAGTTGAAACGATGATGAGACTTGGTTATAGCTCACTGTCACTGCTGGGGGTGGGGGCAACTAATCTCTAATCCTGTTGCACAGCGATGCTGCACTGGCTGCCAAGCTGGACAGGCAGAGCCAGGGTTCTGGTTGCCTCCAGGGGGTGGGGTGTATCAGGTCTCCCTGCCAAGAAACAACAGGGAGACTGACCTTAAGAGCAATCTCCTAGCAGATCCTGTAACAGAGAACATAGTGCATTTAAAGAAAGCCCAGCTTATGGCTGTCCGGCCAAGCACAGATCTATAAACGTTCAGAACCAATTCAGTAGATGCTGCAGCAGGCCAGGGAGGAGAAAACACGTTTCAACCCTTTTCACGATGTATTTGCATACACTGTGGGCCTCTCAACCCTGCCTTTGGAATGGAAAAGCCCATATTCAGTGTTCTTCCATTACTGAGCAGAAGAATGTTGCTATACTCAAAGGTTTCTTGGAGATTCACTAAGAGCAGCATAAAGTCCTGGATTTTAAAAAACATCCTGATTAAAATCCCTTGCCAGTCAGTATTTGAATTCCTTCTAGTAACTGGAGATCAGAGGCAGTTTTCCTGCCCCTTGCCATCTTTGCCTTGCACATGACCAGAAGAGCAGGTTATGGTCTGTGAGCAGGTGCCAACAGATCTGCTCACTGAGGTGGTGCTTGTGGCTTGTTTGATGGGCTGAAGCCTGCTTAAGGAACTTCCTGCGAGCTCTGATATCACGATCTCGGTCTGTTGGCCTGCTTTTGGCCTGCTCTAGAAGGAGCAATAACAGATTGCAAAGCCAATCACAGACTGCAGTTTCAGTGCAGCGTCTTTATCAGAGAACAGGTAGTTCCTTGGGGATCTCTGGAACTCCTAATGACTCAAGAGTGTTCCTTGCTCCAAACACTTGAACTTGTGGCTCTATTTGATGGTCTGTTCAACTGAGGTCCTTTTTTCTCCCCCACTACTGCAGTCTTAGGAAAAGTCCTGAGTGCAGTGGGCAGTGCACAGCTACTAATGTCACAGAAGTTCCAGCAATTCCACGGCCTCTGTGAACAAAACTTGGTGAGTCTGGCTCTTTTTCCTGTTTGTTTTTGGGAGGGTAATGCATCTGTTTCAACAGCAAAACAGGAGCGCTATCAGGTGTTAATTAACAGGCTGCTGTCAGTGGAACAGGGTTGCAGGGCAAAGCCAAAGCAGCTGTACACCATGCCACAATGGATGAATGCTGTTTTTAAATAGCAGGTGAGCAGTGGGAGGTTGTTTGGGCAGTTCTTAGGCTGTGTTCTGTTCAGGGATGAGTGTTTGCAGTTCCTTTTGGTGCTCATGCTATCGCAGGAATTTTCTTGAACTGCTAATCAGGGTACACCAAATACATTGACGCTGTCTGTAGCTCTGGTATGTCAGCTGGCCATTCTGCTGCGTGTCCTGGAAACCAATCTCTCCTTTGTTACTTCCAAAGGACTTTTTGAGGTGAACCACAGATTTTGCCAAATGGGGGCAGTGTTTGAAAAGGCTACTGTTCCTCTCCAAATATGCTTGCTTTGCATTGTAGTTTATGTGGATGGTTACTGTCCCAGTATCACTGACCCTGGTTGGTCACAAAGCACTGTTTGAATTGGATCTCTATGAATGTAATGCAAAGGCTTGCCCTTGCTGAGATCTAAATGGAGATAACTTAGGGATGAGTGAGAATCTGGGTTTGGGTTGTTTTTTTTGTTTGTTTTTTTTTTAACCCCTCAAGCTTTATTATGGCATGGATTTTGCAAAATTCTTGAGGTACATTCTCCTTTATTTGCAAGAAAATTGAGAAGGAAGGGGTTGAAGCACTGGGCATCTCTGTGCTAATCTCTGGCTGAACATGGCTGAGAGATTAGCAGCAACACCACCAGCAGCCAGGCTTTCAGCAGGGTTCTGTGCTGAAGCTTTCCTTTAATGCTTTGTGCTGTGCTGCTCAGATTTGATCCCGTGCTTCCCTAAGAAAATGCAGGCTTATGATGGCAGTTCATATGCCTGAAAATTGGGGAAATTCTGTTTATAATGGGGAAAAACTTACTTTAGCTACTTAGTTTTTCAACCTAGCCTGAGAAATACCGATACTCTCTCAGGGGCATGTAGAAAAGTGATCTGAGTGAGACAATTTTGAATTTTGCTTGTGAGAAGGCCAGCGTGCAATTTCTCCAGGTGTCAGAGCTGTGTTTTGCATTGTGCTGTATCAATTTCCCTTGTTACAGCCTTTGAAGTTATGATCTGAGTACAAAACTGTGTTCTAGCTTAATCACATGCTGGGGAGCTTCAGCTGGGTGTTACTGCTATGGGGCTGGACTAACTACGGGTGCTTTGGGGAGAAGAGTCTGATTGCTTTTTACTACAGTGCCTTTTCAGGATTACATTTCAGGCTCCTAAAGGAGAAATGTCATCAGGATTTCTGCCTCCTGTTTGCTACAAAAATATTCTTGACTGTAAATGATGGTCATGTGCCTCTGTCCTCTTCGGGCTGGTGTCTCTTATGTGTTCTCGAAGTTTCAGTCATTGGGCAGCTGTAAGGTTTAAAAGGGGTGTATATGTACCCTGTGCAGACTGCTCTACTTGTCAGGAAGGTGTATTCTAACATGCTTTTATGCTTTCCCTGGTAGAATCCTAACGCCAATCCCAGACCCACAGCCCAGGACCTAGCTGGGTTTTGGGATCTCCTGCAGTTGTCCATTGAAGACATCAGCATGAAATTTGATGAGCTGTACCACCTGAAAGCTAACAGCTGGCAATTGGCAGAGACACCAGAGAGAAAGGTGAGTGTGGGGCAGCGTGGAGTGGCCAGAGTGCCTTGCATCAACTCCTGTTTGTAATCAGAATGTCTGTAGGACCTTTACCACCTTCTAGTTACGCAGTGTAATCTCTCCATATACTACAGCTGCCTCTGATAATGCTTTTAGCACTTGTACTATAAGATTGCATTGTCTGTCAGCCATCTTCCCCGAGCATGCAGTCACAGCCTTGCAATGCATTGAGAACATTCCTCTTGAGTAACAGTGGAAACAATTTTGTACAAGAGGAAGAATATTACGATGGGGAGAGAGGAGTGGTGCTTTTAAAGCAGTGATGCAGAGGAGGCCTCTAGTGTTAAAAGCACTGCATAAGTAGGTTGCAACTATTCCTGGTATCTGGGTGGTATAAAAAGCATCTGCTGGAGCCTTTTCAAAATTCAGGGTGGGCTGTGTACCAGGGCCAGGCTGCTTTACCAGATACGAGGGGAGGAAAGATTCTATGGCTGCAAGCAGGACAGCGTATTCAAATTTTGCAGTTCCAGATGCTGTCTGCTGTACCCTGACTCACAGCTGGGCTACAGACATAGCCAGAAAACTCCAGTCTGGGCCACAGAACACTTCTCTGTACAAATTTGAAGTACAAAATGTTCCATTTCTAGAAGTTGGGAAAGCTGAATTTATGATGAGTGTCTTGCTTGGGAAGCGCTCCTGCTTCTTTCTCCTGACGCTCCATAATCTCATTACTTAGTCCCTCAGGACGTGAGTCCCCACCATAGCAGAGAGCAAGCTTCTGTATATGCATTTTTATTTTATGTTTGGGTTTTTCCTTACTGTCTCCCTAAAGGAAGAGAAGAAACCACCCCCTCCAGTGCCAAAGAAGCCAGCCAAGTCCAAATCCCAACTGAACCGGGACAGAGCCTCTGATTCAGACAAGCAGCGCCAGGAAGCTCGCAAGCGTCTCATGGCAGCCAAGCGGGCTGCTTCTGTCCGGCAGAACTCGGCCACGGAGAGCGCAGACAGCATCGAGATCTACGTCCCTGAGGCACAGACCCGCCTTTGAGCAAAGGGGCAGAGGAAGGAACCGCGTGGTTTTTATAAGTCATTAAAAAGGAAAAAAAAAGGTTCTCTCTAAACTAGTGTGATTTATTCAGTCTAGAGACAATGAGCCATCCTTGAAAAGGGCTCCTGAGTTGGCTTTTTTTTCTCTCAGCTTTAAGTAATGAAGATTTTAAAAAAAGAAAAAAAAAAAAGGAAAAAAAAAAAGAAAAACATACCCCTCGTTTTCTCACTGGCTGTGGTGTTGCTGAATGGATTGAACATACTCCTGGAAATTCCAGCCCCTCAACTTGGAACTTCAATATTTTTACTTGTTCTATCTAATGAGAATTATTAGCTTGTTTACAAGAAGAGGACAACAAAAAACATGAAGCCTTGAGCACTTGCCATCCTATGTTCTTCCTCCTCCTTAGTTCTGTTCTTTCATCCTTTATTTTTCCCCCTTCTGCTCCTTTTCTCCTACCCTCTGCATGGCTTTGTTTACTGTGTTAGAAATAACCTCTCTTCCACAGAGCTCCTGAAGAGAACACCTATTCAGTGTGTACTACTGTTGCACTCTGCTAGCAAGCAGCCTTTCTTGGGTTTTGTTTTCCTTTTGATGGGGATATTGGGGTGGGGGGAGAAGGGGTGGGAAGGGACAGGGCCATGGGTTTGTATTCCTGTGTTAATGAAGTGAGAGGATGACAGGACCTGTGGAATGTAATGCAGAGTTGCTGAAATGCAGTACAGAAGCAAATGTGCAATAAGCTGGCAAAGAGGGGCAGGGATGGTGGTTGGCTGGCTGATCCCGAGAGCAGTACCCTACCCCAGGCGCAGGAGGGGAACAGAAGGACCACAGAGCAACTACGGACATGATCCCCACATGCTTCACTTTGATTTTTATTTTTTTTCCTCTTCCCTGCCCTTCACAAAATTATTTTCCCTGAATTGCTTGTTGAGAAAGAAGCTGCTACACTATGGGACCTGTTTCAAAGTGGGCTGGGGCAGGGGAGGGCTGGGTTGAGTATGCTGGTATTTCAGGGTGGGAGGACTGGGTTTTGTACAAAGAGGAAGGCAGGGGTAGCTGAGAGTAGGCTGCCCGCCTGTACGTATGTGTACATATGCACATATACAGTTAGTAGTACCTGTACATTTAATTCATACACACGTATACATGCCCACACACACAGTGCAGACGGTGTAGTAAAGGCACCTTGGTGAGAATGGGCATATGTATAGCATATATTTTTACATGTACTATATCTAGATGTGTGTAAAAGTGTGTGTAAAAATATATACCCTGTGTGTAATCAGATGACTATTTTTTCCTTATCTTCCTGCTCTTTGGGTAGAGGAAGGATTGCTAAATATTTTTTAGCCCATTTTTCCCCTTTGTAGGCCTCCTTTTCAGTCTGACTTCTTGAAGCCAGGACTGCCACCACCCAGTTCTCTGCCACCCCCTCAAAATAAGCATCTGGTCCCATCCTGAGCGATCTTGCTGGGGATTTTTTGTTGTTGTTGTTCACTTGTTCGACTGAGCTGGGAGATAGCGTGCTACGTTCACGGGGGTGGGGGTGGAATCCCAAAGAAGTTTCAGCGAGGGTGTTGGTGATCCAGAAGGCAAAAAAAATAAATAAAAGTGAAATCTTGAACGATGCCAGAGTGTGCCTTGTCTGTTGTCCTGTCCTGTGAGTGCACGGTACTGGGGGGTGATGGCAGCAAAGAGGATCCCACCAGACCCTGACCGTGATGTGACCCACGTTTAATGTTGGGCTCTGGGTGCGGACTAACAGGGTGTGGGTATTTTATGTTTTTATTTTATTTGGAGGGGGGGAAGGGGTCGAGGTGTGCGCGTGGTGGGGAGGACCCCTGAGGAGCCCCGTGACGTTTAACAAAATGGCCGCTCCCGCCATAAAATGGCGGCCGAGACAAAATGGCCGCCCCCGCTGCGCAGCGGGGAAGGGCCTTGTGGGGCCGGTGTGCTTCCGGGGAAAGCGCAGGGGGCGGGGCGAGCCCGTCCGCCTAGCCAATGAGCGCGGGCCGTGCCCTGAAGGGGGGAGGAGCCCCAGAGGGGGTGGGCGGGGCTCTGACAGGGGCGGGGCTCTGATTGGCGGGCGGGGCTCTGTGGGGGCGGGGCTTTGGCGGGGGGCGGGGCTCCTCCCCTTGGCGCTGTGGCGAGGCGCAGAGCAGCGGCCGCCCCCCGGCGGCTCGGTGCTGAGGGGGGAGCGCTCCGCGGCCGGCACCGGCACCGGGCCCTGCCCTGCCCTGCCCCGCCCTGCCCCTCCACAGAGCGGCCCGGGAGCTTCCCCGGAGCTGCAGCAGTGAGGCTCGGGTGTCCCCAGGTGTCCCCATCCTTCCACAGCCCCTGCCCAGGCCGTGGGGTCAGGCAGCAGCGTGCCCGTGAGGCAGCAGCGCATGAGGCGTCTGTGAGCCACACAAGAATGACATAGCCCAGCCTGGCTCAGATCTCGTGTTTTTTAAAAAAAAAAAGAACAAAACCAAAAAAAAACTTTTTATTTGACAACAGAAGAACAAAGAAAAATATATTTACAGTAGTTTTTTGCTCCAAAATTCCATTCAGAACATCGCCACCCCCCCCCCCAGTCCATCCTCAGGGCAGCGACACCAACCCCACCCCACGGGGACAGCGGCAGCGCTCCTGCCCCCAGTGCAGCAGCACTGCCCCTTCCCGCTTTGGTTTGACTGAGGCAAAAACAAGAGGAGGCGAAGGAAAAGTTTCCCCCTCCCCTGGGAGGGAGAGAGCGCTGTAGGGAAGGGCTACCTAGAAATAAAGGAGGCAGTCCCAAAATAAAGGACGTGCTCCAGAAAGGGGGCAGAGGGCAAAGGCTGGACATAAATTGGAGCAGGGGGAGCTGAGGAAGGCAATGCTTGTAACCACAAGGTGAGCCTCAGCCCCAGCAGTACTGTGCTGGTGCCCCTGCCCAGCTGGGAACCACCAGCGTTGGAGCCATCCCTGCACTGCATGGGAGCGCTCAGCAAAGTGAGGCACCACCGGTAATCCTTCCCCAGCCCCTGAAGCACTTGGTAACACCCCCTCCTTTCCTCTGAACAAGAAAACGGGGAAAAAACAGACCCCCAAATCACTGCCTTCTTCTGGCACTGCTGGCTCCAGCTGCTGCAGAGCACCAGATCCTGTGGACGTCATTATCTCTATTCATGCAACTTAACAATCAGGCTAATAACCTAGGATTAGTGTTTCTCAGGATAGATTACATATGTGTGTACGTATCACTATTTAACTTAAATTTACAGTGAAACAATAGTCCCAGGACCTCTGCAGTGCCCGGGCTCCTGCTCCCCACAGACGCCGGCTGTCACTAGAGGTCACCAGCACCACAGCACCGGCCCCACCACGCTCCCCCGAGCACGAGGGGAGCAGGGAGCCAAGGGACTCGACACCCCCACACCCCCCCAGCCTTCCATGCGGCTCATCGCACCTGGCTGATGAGACAACCGCATTCTGGGGGCTGCGCCTGCAGAGGGACACACAGGTAGCCCATGCCCACAACATGCTTCTTTCCAAATATTTTTTAAAAATAAAAGTGTTGGATACAAAAAAAAATTCACAGTCTCAGCTTCGCGTCCGCCCCCAGCAGCAGCAGCCTGCAGTCGGCGTTTCTCAGGCTCTGCGACGCGCTCTCTGTTCCAGGAGACAACGTGCACATCTTCAGCAGGAACGTGAGAGAAATACAGGGAGGTCGCGGAAATGTTTGTAGAAGAAATTTAAAAAAAAAATAGAATAAATCACAATTAGAGGGAAAATGTTTCAACAAAAAAACTGCTAAACAGCACCATGGAGTTTTCTACTGGCAGCATCTGTAACACCCTAAGGCAGAAGAGGAGACTCCCAGGTTTTCTGTGCAAGAAAATCCCACAGATTTCAGGTTTCCAGTTCATCTGTCCTTTGCGCCTCCCCAGGCAAGGCACGGCTCCTGGCCAGCACGAGGTACCAGAAAGGTCCTCCATAAAAATAGGAGAAAGGTAGAAAAAAAGAAAATCAGAAAGATTTGGGAGAAAAAGCTTTTCATCTGTGGTCCTTAAAACAGACACAAACTTTTTTTTTAAATGGAAAGAGAGAAAGAACTCTCTCTCCCCCTGAAGAAGTGGTGTTGGCTGGACCCTTGTTTACAGGACAGGGCAGTCAGCAGGTTTTCCGAGGGAGCTCCGTGGCCTCGCACAGTGAGTGCTGGTCGTGGCAAGGAGACATCGCTCAGCTGCAGAGGTTTTTTCCGCACTGGCCAGGCTGCAGCAGCCACATCCTCCTGCCTACCCGGCGTCCTGTCCCTACCAGGAGTGCAGACGGCGAGGGCTCTGAAGGATGGTGAGCGTTTCCCCAGGACAGGACGAGGACAGCCCTTCCTCTCCTCTCCCCCATGGCCAGCGGAGGTACCGGAGCCCCTTGGGACGCACGAGTCCGCTTCTGAGATGAGCTGTTTGGGGGTGCAGGCAGACAGGGGATCCTGCGGACCGGAGAGAAGGGACCCTGTGGGTGGCACGAGGCTGGAGGCTGGGCGCCCCCAAGGAAGGGCACCCCGTGGGACCTGGCCCGGGGGCTATTTGGCAACGGAGGCCCCTGGGGGCTCAGGCTGGGGTGAGAGGGGCAGCTGCCCGCCCTGGCGCTGCGACTCCAGCTCGGCCGCCTTCTGCAGCGCCACCTCCACCAGCAGCTGGAAGCTGCTGAAGTCATCGCCGAAAAGCTCCGGGGGCGTGGGGGGCGGCGTGTTGAACAGTCCGCTGGTGGGGCTGGCAGCCTCAGCCCGTGCCAGCAGGGCCATGGTGCTGCCGGCGGCACCCAGCGGCGCTTTGGGGTGAGGGTCTGGCTCCGTTTGCTTCTCCCGCTCGGGGCTGCGGGCACCCGGCACCGTCAGGTTGCTGCCCACCGCCTGGGCAGGGTGGCACAGTACCTGTGGGCACACGGACATGGGCAGCACCTTGGTGGCCCCCGCCGCGGTCATGGGAGGAACCACCAGCACCCCAGAGCCAGCAGCAGCCCCCCGGGGCAGGGCCACGTCGCCAGCCTTGCCACCCCGGCGGGAGATGGTGAACTGGTTGGGGTCCTTGCCGTCCTTGCGCAGCATGTCGGGGAGCAGCCGCCGCCGGGCGTTGATGAACCAGTTGCAGATCTGGGAGGAGAGAGGCGTGCAGCGCTGTCAGCAAGCAGCTCCCGAGCCCCCCACAGCTCTCCCCCGCCTCACACCTCCTTCTCCCACGGCTCACGGAGGCAGAGGTGCCCCAGCAGGGGCTGCACATGGAAACCTCAGCGCCGGCTGCTTCCTGCCTGCCTGGGCAGCCCCTTCCTCCCAGCACCTTCGCTGTGGCTGCCCATGGGCAGGCAGAGCAGGGCACAGCTCCCACACCCTCCCTCGACATCTCTGACACCAAACTGCCCGCTCACGGAGCTTCCCATCCCCTGAAGGACAGCAGGGATGGCGGCAATTCACTGATGTGTTCCTGTGCCTCCTGCTAACTAGCAAAGCTGGCTTTGAAGGCATTTCCAAACAGCTGGATGCAAAAGAGGCAAACCTCTGCAGCTACACCTCTGGAAGCCCCTCAGAAACGCAACAACCACATACAAAAAGCTAGGTTAAAAAAACTGCCTTCTTCCTAGAAAACAACTAGAAGAGACTAAATCAGGCAAAAAAAAAATCTTTCCTAAATCAGTGTCTCTGTAAAATATTTCCCCTGGGTAGAAAGAACTTACCACAACTTCAATCACAGCAAGATCTCAGCTGTCCTTTTTTTTGTCTTTCAGACAATATTTGGCATTTAACGCTCTCAAATATGTGAGACTCACCCCCTTTTTCCTTGTGTGTGAACACACTCCCTTGCAACCCCTTTGCCAAGAGCCCTTGACGTGCTCCAGCGCTCCCACGGCCATCAGCAGCTGTAAATCCCCAACCAGAGGGCTGCACCCTGGCACCCACAAAAAGCCCAACCGGCTCTGCAGTGCCCAGGAGCCCCCACAAAATCCCAGCTCCTGTTCAGCTCCACGCAGCGAGCAGGGCAGACGGGCACGCTCAGCCACCCGGCCGGGACGCAGGCTGCCACATGGCATTCGCTTGCGGGGGGGAGCTAGACAAGCCTCGGCAGTTCCCCTTCCAAGCAAGCAGGCTTATTTTTAATGTTTCACATTTTTAAACACCTCTGTGATGAGAACAGCATCCTCTGTGCTCTTGGGGAAGAAAAACCTGGCCCTGCTGCGTGCCCCTCTCCCTCAGGATGAGGGCAGGGAGGCCGGTAGCCGCGGGGCTGGCCTGGGAGCCTGCACAGCTTCCTGACCCCGGCTTTCTGCGTGGGGCTCGAGGCTGCCCGGTCGCCCTGGAGACCTGGGGCCACCACACTGCCGCCGCCTCGTCACTGGCAGCCAGGCAGGGGCACGCATAAACAAACTGCAGGGCGCAGGGCCCGGCTCGGCCACTGCGCTCAGGAGGCGCCCGGGGGAGTGGGATCGGCCCTGCTGGTTCAAGCACCCCTCCCGAGGCTGGCCCCCGAGGCCTCTCCGGCCTTGCCTTGCCATGGGGTGTCCCACTCCACCACCCCATCATCAGGCAGAGGATGGCCGAGCAGTGCCCTTTGTGTCACCTCAGAGCAAGGGAGATCCCACAGCAGAAGAAACCTCACTCACACCTCCTGCCA